CTTCAGAGTTCAGCGTGCTACCTTTAACATAGTCCCAGAAAATAAATTTCAGTTTCATCCTTGCAGAACTATTTTTAGGCCAAACACATCATTATTTGGGCACAATCAAAAGATCAAAGTCACAGGGATCTTCGCTGGAAAGCAAAGAGAGTCCTTCACCAAACCTAATAGCTGTCTTTTCTTTTTCTTCTAAGAACAGAGTTTAATGACACATAAGACAAAGTTTGCTATTAGTCACTTTCAAAGATGTTTCTTAGGATACTCTGCCCTTCCTTGATTTTTTTCAGTAGTCTACTTTACTCCATGCAAAGCAGAACCTTTTTTAAAAATTTACCAAAAAGCTCCAAATTGCTAATACTCCTGTCTTAAATTAAACCAGAGTTCAACTATGGCCATAGAGTATTGGTTATTTGAAGTATTGACTATTTTTAAGTAATCAATAACCCTTTAAATATTACTGTAAATTTGGTCCAACTGTACAGAAAATTTATAAATTTCTATCAAATTATCCCAGGTCAACCTCTTTTGTGACTCAAGGCAAGATTTTAAGAAAGAGCCTATATGAGATTCCAGGACTGTTGTAACAAAGTGCCGCCAACTGGGTGTCTTAAAACAGCAGGATTTATTGTCAGACAGTTCTGGATACTAGAAGTCTTGCGACATGGTATAGGCAAGGCTGGCTCCTTTTGATATCTAAGAGGGAGACCTTCTTCCATACCTTTCTTTTGGCTTCTGGTGTTTATTGTTGCTTGTCAGGATTCCTTAGCTTATAAATGAATCACACCAATTGTTGCCTTCACTTTTGTGAGTGTCTGTATCTGTGTCCAAATTTCCCTTTTCATAAGGACTCCAGTTGTAGTGGACTAAGGCCCACCCTAATGACCTCATTTCACTTGATTATATCTATAAAGACCCTATTCCAAAATATAGTTATATTCAGTTACAACTTTCTGAGGTACTGAAAGTTAGAACTCCATCACATCTTTTTGGGGGCACACAATTCAAACTATAACAATGGGACTGTGGTGTATACATGGAATCAAAAGAGGGACTGGCTCATAAGGGAAGAAAACAAAAACATCTGGGTACTGGGAAGGGGATTTGTGGACTTTCTAGAACTCTCACACCAACATGCTTCAGGTTGGATGTTATCCATTGTCATATTTGTATATGCTGAATTTCAAATCCCTAAGGAGAATTTTATTGGTCAGATTTGGTTCAGGTATCTTTCCTTGAATCAGTTGTCTATGACATGAGTGAGGGTACAGGATGGAATACAGTTATTTTCATGTGTGAGGGTGTGGGGTGTATGTGTACAGGGTATGTGTGTAGGTCTTGTTTCAAAGTGTTGGGGTCTTGTGTCTGATCATTGTGTGACTATGTACTGGTAAGGGGGTAGCTTCTTCCTGTATCTCCCCCACCCCTTCTAAGACTGGAGTTTAGAAAGGCTTTCTATGATACCAACAAAATGGTGGTTTATCATTGATTCTGCAATTATTAATTGACCTCTTGAGAGACATCCCACCCTGCGCTGGCATTGTAAACATGAGCAGTAGGTGCTGATATTCTGCCGTTTGCAATGTTGATGTGACTGAAGCAGGGCAGGAGGGCAGGTCTTTGCATCTCTGCCGAAGTCTAGAACATAACTCAGCATGGAAGTGTTGTGTGCCCTCATAAGCAGCACCAGCTGTGCCCACATGCAGATTCTCAGACTAGACCATGGTCAAGCTCAGTCCATGGCAGGCAGTCTCACTGGATCAAGAGGCCCAGCTGCCCAACCTGCGATGTTCTCCTATGCTTTCCTAGTCAGCCAAAGGCATGGTTTGGGTAGAAAGAGCCCAGAGAGTGCCAAAGAGGGATTCCACTCATCTCTGACTCACACTCACCCTGCTAGTGTTCTCCAGCTCTCTCCCCAGTTGGGAGTTTGGTGAATATTCAAGGACAGAAAAGACATAAATCCACTCTCGCTAGAACAACCATCTTATGCCCTTTGGGTTGTAGGGAGGCTCATCATGTCTTCTTCTTCCTTCCTGGGAGTCACTGAGATGCCACGAAGTTATGAGCCAATAAACCACTGCATCTGTCTGTTGGTTATTTTTCTTTAGCGCGAATTTTACAAGACTGCCTCCCAGAAGGGTCACAATCTCAACACATGTCACTTTGCCATACGCTTAGCTGGAACATCGTGTTTTGCTGCCGCTGAATTAAATGTACAATTATAGCATATTTTCTTGAAAGGCATTTTGACAATGATAAATCACAGACATTTTCTATACTCAGGCAACCTGACTCCATGCCCATCAATTTGCTCAAGATTCTCTCTAAAGAACTGGTCTCTTGTAAATGGGGGACACTGGATCCTAGCTATGGGTATATGGTCTGGGTTGAAATGCCACTTCTACCAACTTTGCACCATGTGAGCTTGAAAAGCTGTCTTACTCCTACCAGCCTTCTCTATTTTCTCATTTTCAGAGGATGATTTCAAGTTACTCCCCTAATAGTACTGTTGTGTTCAATGAAACAACATTTGGAAAGTGATTAGCATATCCTTGGCAAATCATAAGCACTCAATGAGTCCTTTTTTTTTTTTTAAAGATTTATTTATTTATACAAGCACTGGGTACAGTCAGAAGTGTGGGAGGGTGAGAGAATTCATGAGAGCCAGAGCGGGAAACAGAACAGGCAGACTGACGAAATACACTGCTGAGGGGAGTAGCAGGCACGGCAGGAGAGGCCTGCATGCCATGTGGACCCTCGCTGGCGGCCAGGGATGGAACCGGCACTGCAGAGGCTGTGGGCAGCTTCACAGCCCAGTGCTCAACCACTGCGCCAACAGGGGAGGCCCAATGAGTCTTGGTTATACTTGGTGCAGGCAACTTGTCCTCTTAACTGCGGTGATGACTCAAACTTGAGTTCAGATCCCAGTGGTGCTTTTTGTTATTCACAAAGCAGTGAATATTGTTGTTTTTGTTGCTGTTTTCTTTTTTTTTGTAAATTTATATATTTTTAATGAATTATTTTATATAATTCTTACATCATTTTTCATTTTTGCATAATGTATGCATTTTCATTTTTGTTATATTCCCCATACAATTCCCACACCCTTTTTCTGACCCTAATCCCTCTTCTCCTCCCCCGGCCCCCACTGTAGTGTGTCTCTGGTCTATAGTTGCTTGTTGATTTTGATTTTTACTTTATTGCAATTAGTCTTTTTCCTGGTCCCTTATTTAGGATTTCTGAATTCCTGCTACGAGTGAGACCATCCGGTATTTTTCTTTTTCTTTCTGGCTTATTTTGCTGAGCATGATCCCTTCCAACACCAATCAAAAAAGATAAACTTATGCAATTTGTTGCTGTTTTTTATAGATCCTTGAATATAGTAATAGTAGTTTGTATTAATTATTTATTAGGTACTAGATGTATGTAATCCTATTGTTTGTTTCTGATACCAACCTTATTAATTTTATGCTCTATATCTAGCTCACATATTGGGAATTCTGGTGGGCCAGATATAACCTATTGGTACCTCTAAAAATTTTGCCCACCATTTTTTACTTTCCCTGGGCCAGAATATACTTGTTTTGTGGACCATTTCAATCTGGTTCTCTTACCTCTCATTTCTGATTTAGTCAGGATTCTGGAAAAGAAATAGAACACACCATTAAACTAGTTAGTTTTAAGGCTATTGACAAATGCGGTGGGTGATGTATAGGAAAATCACAAGGGGTTAGTTCTGCCTTATTGACCTAGAAATGGTAAGACACTATCATTATCACAAAACTTCTGGGATAAAGGATGACACAGTAGTTACCAGAGTCAGAGTCATAGAGAGTTGTGTGAAAAGGGCTTTCTGTGACAGGACTGTCACAGGGGAGAGATGCAGCCACCCTTAGGAAGGAAGCCCGGAGAAGTGGTGCCCTGCCTAGTCTTCCTCTAGCTCTGATATTTTTGCTGGTGTTCCTCATTTGCTGAACCCAGCTGGAAGCCAGAGGACAAGGCTACCAGCTGATCTACCAAGGACAGAGAAGCATAGGGAAGGAAGCATAAGTCCAGAGAGCCAAGCAAATGCACTTTACACACCTCCCTAACAACGTGACCCTGGTAAGTGAGATTTGCTTTAAGCAATGGAAAGTTAGATATTACCTTTGCTCTCCTGTTCTAAACAGCTCATTTTCTCCTCCCTATTTCTCTCTTTTATCGTTTTCCTGCATATCCATGATCCCTAAATATTGTGGTAGGAAACTTGAAATGGCATCTTAGAGTAATACAGCCACTCTTAGATTTGAGAATATTTCATTGTGAAAAGGTCAAGATAAAAACATACATTACTAAAAATCCATTTATCCTTTATTTTCTCATCATATAAGGAAAGGTTACTGCCAAGTATGACAGTAAGGTTTTATTGCTGCAATTCTTATAATAAAAACAAGCATATTTCTTAATGAATTTTGGTTTATTAGATCAGCAACTGCCAGCATGAGGTTACTAGGACTTCGGGAGACTATAATAGTAGCAGTGGAGGTCTGCAAGCTATTTTAAATATTTCATAAAGTCTAATATAATCATGCTTTAACAAGTGAGAAAGCTTCACAGACTAACAAAAACATTGAGATTCTTTGCTTTTGACTGAAATGGTATTAGCTCTGTGTGGTGACCCTGGTAATTTCATGCTGATCAGAAGTTTGATAGGCAGTTATATGTGTCTGATTAATAAAACATGGGAGAGCAATGAATTATTACTTAATCTATGCTATTTGCTAGATAAAGTCTTTGAAAACCTAGAATCAATTGGGAAAAAATAATTAACTAAATGCTCAGTAGTGAAATAAGGAGGACAATACTGGCTTGATATTTCTCATATACTGGAGGCTGAGGCAGACTTCCAGGTGGGTTAAGATCCAATAAAAATAAAAGGCAGTTGTTTTCAATAGTAGCAGTGACAACAGTGATAATAATGATGACAAAGACAAAAACGACAATGATGATAGTTAGTAGTTATTAAGAGGCCAGACACAGTGCTGAAATGCTTTATGTGAAATATCTTATTTCATCCTCCCAATAGTTCTAAGCAGATGGAGTTTCATACGTCTTGTCTTTAAGTTGAGTTTCCTCAGAAGAAGATTCAAAGGCAAGAGATTCTGTGCAGGTAGTTTTCTTAGAAGGTGATGCCAGGAAGAACCATTAGGGAATGGAGAAGTGGGCTGGGCAAAGGAAGGAAAGCAGTGGCATTTGTCAGTGAACAGGTTGCTTCTGTGGGCACCTGGGACTCAGTGCTCCTTGACATGACATGTCTGGGGAGACACTGTAGAACGTACCTCTGGGAGGCAACATTTGACTGGCAATGAAGAGAAGGTTTTGATCCAGTGGCCCCTGTTTGAAATTGGTCAGTGACTACTTCCAGGGACAAGCTCTTCCTGTGTGTCCTGGCTGAATGCCAGGTGCCTTCATGTGACTGGAGAAAGTCCTCAGGTAGAGAAGCCCCTAGTGAAGAGTTGTACCAGTAGCATCCACCTTGTTCCTTCTGCCCTGCACATGAGGAAACCAAGACATCATGAGTTGAAGTGACTGTTTGAAGTGACAGACCACTTGAGCTGGTTCTTCCCATAGAATTTGATGACTTCCTATGACTAAACCCCACCAATAAACAGTGACTAACCAGATAAGCACTTATTCTTGGAGGTGCTTTTTTTTTCTTTTTATAATAGCTTCATTGAGGTATGATTCACACACCATACAATTCACACATTTAAACTATACAATTTCATAGTTTTTAGAATATTGACAGAGTTCAACTATCATCACAATTTTTATTTACTTACTATTATTATTGTTAAAGATTTATTCATTTATGCATATAAGAACTGGGGTACAAGCCAGAAGTTCAAGGAGTGAGAGGATTCACCAGAGACAGAGTGGGGAACAGAATAGGCAGACTGACTGAAATACACTGCTGAGGGGAGCAGAGGGCAAGACAGGAGAGGTCTATTGTGCTATGTGGGTAGCTCCCTGGCAGGCTGGGGATCGAACTCATGCTGCAGAGGCTGTGGATAGCTTCACAGCGCTGTGCTTAACCCCTTGCTCCACCAGAGAGGCCCACCACAATTTTTAAAAGTTTCATCACCTCAAAGGAAACCCCCAGGCGCTATGAAACCAATAATCTACTTTCTGTCTCTATGGATGTTTTATATCAGTGGAATCATACATATGTGATCATTTTTATGTGGATTCTTTTATTTACCATAATGTTGTACAAGTCCATCCCTATTGTAGTATGTATCAGTATTTAATTACTTTTTATTACCAGATAGTATTATTTTTGCATGGTCATACCATATTTTCTTTATCTACTTATCAGTTGATGAGTATTTGAATCATTTCTACATCAGAAATAATGTTGCTATGAAAATTAGTTTCTAAGCTTTTATATATAACTGTTTTCATTTCCTTTGGGTATCTACCTAGGAGTGGAATTACTATATTATATGGAAACTCTATTTTTAAGCTTCTGAGGACCTGCCAGGCTCCTCTCCAAAGTGGTCCTGGAGTTTATTGATGACTTTAATCTGCTGTTCAACTGAGCAGGCTGCCTCTCTCTCACTGCTTGGCCAAGGTGAAACATCACTACCATATGCTTGCAAACATAGATTTCAAGAATTCGTAAAGCATTCAGAAAGGATGCCATCAGTGCATTGTCAGAGTTGACTTAAGTTGCTCCTGGATCTCAATGCCTGTGTTTCTTGCTTTTTACTTATAAATGATTAATACTTGAGCTTCATCATTATCCATTAGTTTATGATTATGGGTTGTCTGGTTAACCCTACTGTGTGTAGTGATGCATGTTTTCATCTGAGTATTTTTGGCCTGCAGTTTCTAAATAGCCAGAATTTAAAGTGTATTTGTTGGCACTTAATTAAACATGCATTCTTTTTTGTTGTTGTTTTTATTCAGCACCTGCTGTGAGTCAGACATGGGGCTAGGTGCTGGGAATACAGTGGGGGAACAAAAACAGACACAGTTCAGTCAGAGAAAAATAAACTTTGAGAAGAATGTCCAGGGAAGATGCACTGCTGAATCATTGTTGGGGTCCTCTCCAGAGCCAGCCATTACTGTGTCCTCATAACTCCTCCTAACCCATGGCAAGCTCTGCTCAAAAATGCCACATTGTCGGTTAATACTGTTAGATGACTAAAATGATCAGGCACACAAGAAAGAAGTAGAAAGCCTCTCCCCACTGGAGGACTTGTGACTTAAATAGAATATTTTTTGAGATATAGCTTCCACCTAGAGCAATCAAAATAAATAAAATCCATTAGTGTCTATGAGGACAGTGATGGTTGAGCACCATAGGATTGCTTTCATAGCATTCTCAATTCAATTAAATTTGGAAAAGCAAAAAATTGGCAGTTCTGTGGGTGGATTTTAGAATGCTAAATGAAGACTCTCTGTTAGTTTAATCCATCCGTGCCATTCAGTCATGGATTTATTAATTTTTAATTCTGTCAACTGGACACTACCTTTTCTATGTTCCACCAGAACTTCATAATCCACAACTACAAAATTAAACTCACAATCTACTCATAACCTCCAATCTCATTCCAGTACCAGGCTTACCTCTAAAGCATGCTGCCTATTTTAGCAAAGCAAAGATGCCACTCACAGTGCTGTTGCTTAAGCCACAAACCCAGACATAATCTTTGCTCCTCCACACCCTTCCACCACTCAGTCATGAGATTTTAATGACTGAGCCTCCTGGGTATCTCTCAGGTAGATTTGCTTCTCTCCACCTGTGTGTCTGCTCTATGGCCACAGTCATCTCTTGCCTGTTAATTCTTATCCTTAGTGCATACTCTACTCTCCCACCTTAGCTCCCAAGGGCAGCTGAAGGGATCATCCTTAAGCTCAGGAGTGTCATGTCATTCCCTTAGAGGGCCCCTCAGGGGATAATCATTGCCCCAGGGTAAAGCCCATGTTCTTTAGCCTGGGGGGACCCATTTTTCATGAACTGAACCTGATAAATCCCTCTACTTTTATTTTCACCCCTTCCTGGATCTCAAAGTTGAGCAGAGCCAAACTAAAGCTCCTAAAATGTTCCAGGTTCTCTTACATTGAAGCCTTTGCATATAAGCTGAACCTTAAAATGCACTTTTAAAATAATTTTTGGTTTAGTGGTTTTCCATTCTCTCCTTCTATTAGTTATGATTTGGATTTGGATGACATCACAAAGATCTCAAAATGGCAGTGGCTTCAGTAAATAACATAGACATGCATTTCTTATTCCAGTGATAGTCAAGGCATAAGGCATCCTGCACTGATGTGGTGGCCCTCTCTTTCACTGAGAAATAGAAAAGAGAATCTAAGAGATGAGGGTGGGAAGGGGACCAATTTAAGACTTGGCATTTTCCTTGCTTTCTGGTGTGGTGGAATGTTACTTTCATCCTCATGGTCCTGCTGGCTTGGTTCACTACCACCCTCCTTCCAGTTAGTGGGAAGGTGAGCACATATTCCTTATCTTAAATGTGCATTTGAGAAGCTGTATCCACCACTTCTGCCCATCTCTTTGAATATCAACTGACCACACAACTGTATCTAATCGTAAACAGGAGACACTGGTCTTTCGTTGGTGGATAAATCATAGTTTCTGGTACATTCTTTTTTTTTCTTTAAAGATTTATTTATGTATGCATGCAAGAACTAGGGTACAAGCTAGAGGTGTGGGGGGGGTGAAAAGATTCATGAGAGACAGAGTGGGGAACGGAACAGGCAGACTGACTAAAAATACACTGCTGAGGGGAGCAGGAGGTGAGACAGGAGATGTCTGCTGAGCCATGTGGGTAGCTCCCTCGCTGGCCAGGGATCTAACTCATATTGTAGAGGCTGCGAATAGCTTCACAGTGCTGTGTTTAACCCCTTGTGCCACCAGGGAGGCCCTCTGGTACATTCTTTTATGTAAAATTAATGTGGAGAAAAAAGTAAATTTTCTTTCCAGTCATGAGTACACATTTTGCTGAATGAATACATTTTGGAGTCAGGTATCAGATATTGGAACTTCAGGGGGCTGACAGTAGCACCCCCATCTTACTCAGAGACGTTACATACTTGATCAAGAATGCACAATTTCATTCTCATACATGTCACCTGCTATCGTCAAAGTCCATGTCCTTAGCTGAATAAGCATACAGGGAAATGTATTGATGTTCAGAACATGAGCTTCAGACTCAGAAAAGCCTGGATGCATCAATTAGTGATATTGTGATAATTACAAAGTTCTTTACCTTTTCTGAGTTCATCTCCTCATAAAGCTATTGGCACATTAAGTGGGATAATGCATAAAATGCACCAAGGAAAATGCCAGTGGCTAGCACTTAATAGGTGGTGGCTAGTAGAGGAGATTGCAATGGACAGTTCTTAAACTGCACTGTCGTTATCAGTTATTGCCACTGTTGGAGACATGGCAGCCAAGGAATGGGTGCTGTTTCCATTGTTTATGTCCATTTCCTCGTGAGGCAAGACAAAGTGAAGTCTCTTGACTTTCTCCTTAATCTACCTGCCTGGAAGAATCTGTACTGTCTAAGGCATAGCAAAAGTGCTTTGAGAGATCTCTGCTCCACTCTCAGTAAACTCACAGCTGAGTCACCAAGTACTCACACTCTGGTGTGAGACTCATCTATGCTTGAATCCCAACTCTACCCTCCACCTGATATCTGTCCATGGCAAAAACATTTGACCTCTCTTAGCATCATTCTCTGCTTCTAAAATTCAGCATAATATAAATATCTCCCTCATAGTGATGCTGGGAGGAATCGCTAAAATCATTGCCTCAGAAGTTCTTCAAACAGTTATCCGGTTTACTGCCTATGCTTGATATATGTGAGCAGATTTAAATCCCCCTAGTAAGCTTGGCATTCAGCAGAGGCAGTAGGCATGAAGAGGAGGGAGTATAGAAAAGAGAAATTTAGATGGTAGACTCGCAAGGGCCTAGTGATGGCCCATGGTTGGTGGTATTCCAGAAAGAGAAATCTGGCAAATATTTGAAAAGAAAGTTTACTTTTTCGATAGAATGGTTTACCAGGTAGAAAATACAGCAGAGGAGCTGATGTGAGGGGATAATTAGTGCAATGTTATTGGACATACTGGGTTTTCAGGGACAAAAGGATTCCCTCCTAGAGATGGCCACCAAGTGCTGCTTAGCTGGCCTTGGACTCTGTGGAGATGTCTATGCCCATGACCCTCATTTAAGAGTCATTCAACTCAAGTGCCCAACCACAGTCACAGACTTCCAGGACCAGGGAACCACAATGGTCAGGTGTCAGATAGGTAGGAGGGCTGGTCAACTTGGGGTCAACAAGGCAGATGACCTGCTGAAAGGCCTTCCTGGGCATTTATTATGCTCTTATCTGGGAAAATGAACCCATTTTAGGAGAATTCACCCTGAGGGCTGAATGTGATCTTCCACCAGGTAGATGTTGAAGTGCTTGAAATGAACGAAATCTTACCCCAGGAATTACCTAGTACAAAAAGAGAAGATT